GGTCGTTGGAGGGACAGACGGAGCGAAAATTAGGGTGAAGGCACTGAGAAAGGGCTGGGCTTGGTCGGCAGTGGGGTGGGGAAGGGGAGGGCTAATGGGTTACGTTGCTGTTAGTGAAGAGGGAGCGCAAAGCGGGCAGTAGCTCGGTTGAGCTTTGTCAGTTTTGTCAAATGTCGACTCAAATGCCGACCCGCTCATGTGATCATTTCATGCATGATCGTGCCAACTGGCAGCACGAAAATGCGAGTTGGGAATACCAAGGGCGAGAGGCAAGGTTTGTGGACCAAGAGGCGTTCGTCACCGTAGCGCTAGGCTTGCTTTTCGTGAGGTGGGAGCGCGTGTGCAAGACCACACATGCTCGCGTTATTGTGTTGGGGTTGACGCAATAAAGAGCTGCCTGCGCAATCGGCTGGCTTAGCCTGCCACGCCTGGGTCAATTACGAGAAAAATCGAGCCGCGAGGATGAAGGGGTTTTCAGTGATGGGCGGGCCTTGGTACCCCCTTCATTTACGCGAGCTGCGGTGAGAAAAGAAATCCTCCGTACTCCTTGCACTTGGTTGGAAGTTGAGCTTGCTGTGCGGAGGCTTCAGTTCGGTTCAGAGGGGGAGGTGTTGAATTGATGGGGTTTGCAGGGAAATGTTGAATCGGGCGATTTGAATTGGTTTCGCGATTCGAGTCTGGATTCCACGTTTCGCGCCCAGCCCTTGCTTTCCTTTTGAGGGAAACTTTTTTGTTTGAATCTAGCCTGGGTTGGTGGCTAGACGCTGCTGTCCAGGGCAGGAATTACTTGAAACGAGAGCGGTTCGTTGACTGCGACACGATGGCGAGCGCTGCGACTGCTGGGCGAGCATGACCTCCAGTAAACGGATACTTTTTGTGTCACGTGACGACGCATGAGGAGTGCCCAACCCAAGCAGTGGCGATTCGCTTAGCGAAGGAAAGTTTCGCGGGGGAGACAATATGAAGAATTGATGTGATTTGAGCGCTGCGCTCAATCTGGCTCTCAGATGCGACACGGGCTGTGCCAAATCGCACCGGGCCTCCTTCAGAGAAGGTTCTGTGCAATAGTACCCACACAATTCGTGAATATCAGGTTACCATCCTTCGTACAACCGGGTACTCGCTCAATCGATATTTCTGTAACAGACTGAACCATCCAACTATACGTCCCAATTGGTTAGATACAAAAGCACGACCAAAAGAGGTGATCACATGAGCATGTCAATTCCCAATTAGCAATATATGGTGGTGTGGTGCCTAACTGAGTGAGAATGTCAATTCCCGTTTTAATAGCTAATGTCGATAGTTGGTAAAATTCTCTAATGCAAACATTCGTGATAGAACTATAAGATGATCACACAGAGCCCGAACTCAAACCACAAACAAGCCACCAGCATCAAATGATGGCTGCTTATTGAATGACGTGAAACATTGGTCAGCGGTGGCTAAAACCATGTTTCATCCTGAAGCCCCTTCGCCTGGAACGTAGTATGCTTCATGTGTTACTACCGAGCTCAACACTACTCACATAATTATCAGCCCACCAGTGGAAACGACGTCGGACAACTCCGAAGGCGGTAAATAGTAAAATAACTAGAAAGATGGAACCAGCTGCAGGCACTCCAAGGGGCGAATGTCGGAGCAGTCCCAGCCTTCTATAGGGCAACCACTTATTGATTTATTCGAAATTCATGGCTTCTGGCAGCAAGGAGTTCCCGAAGATATACAGTAGTAAAGTAATCAGCGAGCCAATGGGAGGAGTTGGCCCACGATTCACGATGGAGACAGCTACGTGGTACCCGCACACCCAGATCAGGTATTTCAGCAACTGTTGCTCATTTCGTTAATATCACCATTCATCATGTTAACGAACTCCGAGAAGCACACTCGGCCATCCCCGTCCGCGTCAACCCTGCGAATCATCCTCTCGCATTCCGCCAATGACACATCTCCGTCGTCGTTCTCATCGCCAGCACCAATTCGCAAAAGCATCTCGCGAAGTTCGTCAGGTGTGATGTAACCGTCGCCGTTTTTGTCGAACGAACGAAACGCTGCGAGCAGATCGTCCATCGACGCGGAGTCGGAATCGGGCGAATCCACGACCGCCATGTCAGCGTCGTCAGCCGAAGCCAAGCAGTTTTCGCCGGCCCCAGCCTCGTTTCGGTAACAAGGAATTTCCAATTCTTCCATGCTGCTTCCGCGACTGCCTGTGCTTCCGCTCCTCCCGCTGCTAATACGTGAGCCTGCGGCAACACGAACCTTGTTGACGGCGAGAAATTCGTTAAAGTCAACGAAGCCGTCACCGTCAGTGTCTGCTTGTGCCATCATCCTTCGCGCCATGTCGTCTGGTCGTAGTTCGCCGAGGCTCGCGAGAACGGAGGCCAACTCAACGGTTGAGATTCGGCCGTCGCGGTCGCGGTCCATGAGATTGAACACGTGGCGGATATCGACGGCGGAGACCCCGTGAAGCATGTCGATGAACGGTCTAGATGGTTGTGCGGATGTCCACCCAGTCGTGGTAGTAAAAGCGGCCTTGATATCAACCATAGCGCTCGGACAGCCTGCTCCTCAGAACGAAATCGTTGACGAAAAAAAAAAAAACTAAATGAACGAACAAGACAGAACGATATTATTGGAAGGAAGGACTCTAAATGAACGAACGAGAAACGATGACGAAGTCGGAACCAAAAGACGGAGCGAGTTAAGGCGTGACAGAAGGGAGGTACTCTGACGAGAGAGCGATTGTGAGATTTCGTATAGCCGTCAATTGCGGAAAGAAACTAGAAAGAAGAGGAGGTGCGATGCATTTGTGGGATGGAATTGCGCGTTCGGAAGGCGATGACGCAGCGCCAGTGACGCGTTTCCTCCACCAGGGAAGGAGAAGGTGGGGCTGAGGGAAATGGGGGGAGGGGCGGGAGGAGGGAGAGGGGGGGGTGATGTTTCGGTTCGGAAACAAGAATCCTGGTGCTAACATCGAATATTAAATGTTTATGAGGGGTGATCCTGGAGCATCTTTCGTGAAACTCTGTATTGAGAAAAACAAACCATTGCATTTTGAGTGACTTGATTCCTGGGATACGGATTTTTCGTGCTTGGTATTAGGAAGGCATCTGTAAAAATTATCTCACAAAGCTGGGCACTGCCAGAGGGCAGCCTCCACGACCGTAGATTCCACTGCGTCAAACCCGACAGCTGACTGTAAGTCGCTTTCAGCCGTTCAGATTGGTGGTTCGACGGCAGATTGTTGAGAAGTCTTTTAGGTCATTCGTTCCATTCCCACTTGCTCATGAAATTGGTAGCACCCTCCTTCCCCCCTCCCCCCTCCCTCCCCCTCTCCCCCTCTCCCCCTGTATACCCCCTTCTTGCCCCGCCCACTCACTCCCCCTCCCCAACCCCACCTTCCCCAGCAGTGTGCTGCTGGTTTCCTTCCCTCCCGTCCACCCACCACCACAAACTCTCAAACCCCTCTCACCCATACGGCCCCACCTTCGTTTCTGTTCATGAGTCGTGACGTGACAGAACAGCAAGATGTACAGTTTCACTATGAACAAGATTGAAGACGACAAGAAACCAGTAAGTTTCCCACCCAATCAGCTCAGTCAGGCATGCAGAAGGAGGTCACAAAAATACCGTTACCTTTGCTCACTTTACATGAGCCAAGACCTGAAAATGCGCTTGGCGGTTTCGCCAGCCAGAAGTTATTGATGCTCCAACAGCTGCTCCGATAATCGTTTGAATTCAACACTGACGTTGCACCGCAGTCAATCCAAGCTTACGGTAGGCATGTCTATACAGCAGATATGGTAATCGTGTGAGCATGCAAGGTAGAAACACTTGTAAGCTTGTTGTTCAGAACTTCCTGAAAATATAGCCTGGCTGCTGTTTCTGACAGATTCGTGCGCCCACAGCAATATCCTTAGGTAACCAATTCATATTGTTCACAAATGTGGTACAATTCATGGTTTTCCCACATCCACAACCATCCTTCTGCCATGAGCAAAAACACTAAGATGGAATGAAGTTTTCCACTTTGCCCAACCTGAGAAGGTATATCCCTGGGCCATTGACAGTATAGTTTCCCCCGAGGGGTGGACTGTTGGGGGTTAGAGGTGGAAAAAGAGGGATGAACGAAACACACACTTACTCGTCTGATTTGTGAATGGTACGGCATGGCACGTAGAGGGATACAACACAAACCCACTTGCTCCCATTCATCTCACCCTGAACTCACCCCCCTCCCAGCAACCACCCATCCATCCACCCCTTACCACCCATGTATCCCACCACCGTTCATACATTCATCCCACCCACCACCAGCTGCCCTCCCACCAATGCATACCGCCACCAATGCATGCCGCCACCAATGCATGCCGCCACCAATGCATGCCACCACCAATGCATACCGCCACCAATGCATACCGCCACCAATGCATGCCACCACCAATGCATACCGCCACCAATGCATGCCGCCACCAATGCATACCGCCACCAATGCATGCCACCACCAATGCATACCGCCACCAATGCATGCCACCACCAATGCATGCCGCCACCAATGCATACCGCCACCAATGCATGCCACCACCAATGCATACCGCCACCAATGCATGCCACCACCAATGCATGCCGCCACCAATGCATGCCACCACCAATGCATACCGCCACCAATGCATACCGCCACCAATGCATGCCACCACCAATGCATGCCACCACCAATGCATACCGCCACCAATGCATGCCACCACCAATGCATGCCGCCACCAATGCATGCCACCACCAATGCATACCGCCACCAATGCATGCCACCACCAATGCATGCAACCACCAATGCATACCGCCACCAATGCATGCCACCACCAATGCATGCCACCACCAATGCATGCCACCACCAATGCATCCCACCACTAATCATCCACTCATCAACTACCCCAGAACCCACCTGTCCCAGTCCGAGCCTCCATTGTTGGTGACAAATTCCATTGCAGTCACTGACAGGGTGATCACCTGGAAACACACGGGAGGAGGTGGGAGTGGGGGGGAGAGGGGGGTTGAAGGGCGAATGGATCGTGCAGATAGGAGTGAGAGAGAAGAGAGTGGGCTCCGTTTTTGGTACCAGATTCCCTCGCAGTCACCAACAGGGTGAATGAAGATTGGTTTTGAGACGTCTCAAAACCAATCTTCATACGAGTGGGCTCCGTTGTTGGTACCAAAAGCCCTGGCAGTCACCAACAGGGTGATCACCTGGAGAGAGAGGGGGAAGGGGGGAGAGGGTGGGAAGAGGGCATTCGAAGCTTGAAGCTATGAGCGAGACAGAGAGAGAGGCTGGGAATGAGAGCTACAGAGAGAGGGGCTGAGAATAAGAGTCACAGGAGTGTTGGACGGAAATCCCACAGCACCTCATTGAGAAACAGTCACCTTGTGAATCCCACACCTCGTGTAGCCCTCTCCTCGACCTTTAAATGCTCTCGCATAAAAACGTTTTCAGCTTGACCTTTTGGAGACTCTCACCTTGAGACGTTCTCACCTTGAGATGTTCTCACCTTGGGATTCTCACCTTGAGGGGCAGTCCATTCGAGCCAATGAGAGGCGAGTCGTCCATTCTCGACCCCGGCACATCAGTCCAACCAGCGCCGTCCGCACTGAAGTGCACAAACACCTCCTGCCACCCTGTCTCATAGTACAGTGTCACTCCTGCCGCCCGCTCCTCCTCCACCGCCGCCCCTTCCTCTTGCTCCCTTTGCTCCTCCGGTCCTTCCTTTGAAGCTCCTTCAGAAGACGAACCGTCAGGTTCGTCACTGAGACCCTCTTGCACCCCTCCCGATCCCTCTCCACTGCTCTCCTTCTCTACTTGCACCTCCTCATGTCCTTCCCCTCCCGACTCTACCGTCTCACTGTCTCCTCCCACTGCATTCGCCTCCTCTCCTACCTCCCTCCCTTCCTTGCTATCTGCCTTCCCTCCGTCCCCTTCCTCTACGCCCCTCTCCCTCTCCTCCTCGACTCCCCTCTCCTGCTCCGGCTCAGCTGTGCTATCACTCTCCGGCTTCTCACCATCCGGCTTATCACCAATGTCTTCTGCTACCCCACCATCCGACTTCTCACCATTCCCCTCCTTCCCATTTCCTTCACCACTACCGTTCTCCTCCCCTCCACTCGTACCCTCCTCGTCCTCACCCCCCTCTCGCCTCTCCCCTTCTCTACGCCCTTCCCCATCCTCCTGAGTAGCTGCTTCCCCTTCAGCCCCTTCCCCTTTCATCCCCTCCTCCTCCCCGCTTTGTTGCCCTTGCCCTGGTTCACTCACCCCCCCACTCCTCTCCTCCTCTCCACTCCTCTCCTCGCCACTCCCCTTCTCGCCACTCCTCTCCTCTCCACTACCCTCCTCCCCACCTCCCTCCTCTCCTGCCTCGCCGTTACCTATCTGCACGTCAGCATCTTCTCGTGATTGGCCCACGTCAGCATCCCCTTTTGATTGGTCCACGTCATCACTCTGTGGAACAGGGACCTCTACTGGCCTTCCTTCCCTCTCACTCTCACCCTTCCCCTCCTCCTCACTCACTTCCTCCCCATCCTCCTCTTCAACTGCGCCCCCCTTCTCCTTCTCACTCTCCTCAAGCAGTCTCCGCCTCTCCCTCTCCTCTGCCTCCCTAGCCGCCTCCTCCTCCTCTACCTTCCTCCTCTCCTCCTCCCTCTTCCTCTCCTCCTCTCTCTTCCTCTCCTCCTCCTCTTTCTTCCTCCTCTCCTCCTGCTCCCTCCTCTCCTCCCCCAATTCCACCAACCGTCCACCCTCTCGCTCCTCATACACACTCCACTCCCCCGGCGGACCCTCCTTCCACCACCCAGCCCTCACACTCACACTCCCACTACCACCCTCTCCCTCCCCTCCCGCCCCTCCCACCTCACCCCCTTCTCCCTCCCGCCCTTCCCCTTCCTCCTTCCTCCCCGCTTGCCCCCCCTTACCGTCACTCTCCCCTCTTCCCCCAGCCCCTTTCCCCCCCGCCCCTTTCCCGCCCTCCCACCCAGCAATCTCTTTCTCCATAAGCTTCCTCCCCTGCCTAGTCCACGTCTCCACATCAAACACAAGCTCCTCCAATAGCTGTACCCCCAGCTCCACCTTTCCACCAATCAGCGCGCCCCGGATCTCCATCAGCCCGCCCAGCAGCCCCTCCAGCTTCTGCTGCATCATCTCCAGCCGCCACGTCAGCATCTGCGCCCGGATCTCGATCGACTTCTTGTCCTTTCTAAGCTTCGCGATCTCCCGCCCTAACACGTCAGCAACGCGCTCTAGCCGCACGGAGGTGGCCTGCTCCGCCTCCTCCGCCCGCGCTACAGCCGCCTCTAGGGATAAGATCCTCATCATTGCGTCTGTCAGGCTCATGCCACGTGTCATCGCCTCAACAGGCGCCAATCCTCCTATAACCCCGCTTCCCCCGCTTCCCATGCTATTTCCACTGCCTAACACCTCTCCTCCGTCCCCTACCGCTCCTGCTGCTCCCCCTGCTCCCGCTGCTCCCCCTGCGCGCCCTTCCCCCGCCTCGCTCCGCCCGAGCGTGCCCTTCCTAACGAGCGCGTCTAGCGTGGCGACCATGGCTGCGCGCTCCTTCTCCCACTCCTCGCGCCGCACGCGCAGCTCCGTGTCTTTGATCTCCAGCTGCGACAACAGCTGCTTAGTCCGCCTGCGCGCGCGCACCAGCTCCGCCTGCACGTTGCCCACTGCTGCCCCCACCACTGCTTGCACATCGTCCACCGAGAGGCGCCCGCGGATCGACGCTGCCAACTCGTCCGCCTGAAACGAGGGGGTTGGGAGGGAAGCAGAAGGGGGGACGAGGACGGAGTGTGGGGGTAAGGGAGTGAGGGAGTGAGTGACGGAGTGAGGGAGTGGGGAGTGGGAATATAGGGCAACGCGCAGCTCCGTGTCTTTGATCTCCAGCTGCGACAGCAGCTGCTTCGTCCGCCTGCGCGCGCGCACCAGCTCCGCCTGCACGTTGCCCACTGCCGCGCCCACCACTGCTTGAATGTTATCGACTGAGAGCCGCCCGCGGATCGACGCTGCCAATTCGTCCGCCTGAAGATTGGGAGGGCGGAGGAAGGGGAGAGGAACAGAGGGACAGAGAGGAAGAGAGAGAGTGCGAGAGCGAGGGAGTGAGTGAGAGAAGGGGTGCGAGTGAGAAGAGTGGGCCACAAGCGCACCAGCTCCGCCTGCGCGTTGCCCACTGCTGCGCCCACCACCGCTTGCACGTCGTCCACCGAGAGGCGCCCGCGGATCGACGCTGCCAACTCGTTCGCCTAGAGAGTGGCGGGGGCGGAAGGGGGGATGCGGAACAAGGGATGGGAAAGGAACGAGGAACAGTCAGGCATTGTCGCCGCTCCCACTACTGCCTGCACGTCGTCCACTGAGAGGCGCCCGCGGATCTAAGCTGCCAGCTCGTCCGCCTGACGGGAGGGAGGGCGGTAAAGGTGATAGGGCACCTTGCTGGTCCGCACCTTGTGACATAATTCTCAGCGAGCTGCAAACTTAGCCAGGCTTAAAGCAAAGGATAGACAGTAAAGGTGATAGGGCACCTTGCTGGTCCGCACCTCCCCCACCACCCGCCCTCACCTCCTTCCCCACACACCCATTCCCCAATCCTCATTCCCCCACTTCCTCACCCATTCCTCCCCCCATCCCCGTTTTCCAATCCCCCATATTCCCCGTCCCCGTTTTCCCCCGTTCCCTCATTTCCCCATCTCCATGTTTGCCTTATTCCCATAATTTCCCCTCCCCCATTCCCCTTTCCATCTCCATCTTCCCCCTGTCCCCCCCCTCACCTTGCTCTGCAGGCGGCGGCTCTCCTCCTCAAGCGCCTCGTCCGCCGCCTCTAGCAGCGACCCCTTGGCGCGCACCTCCCCCACCAGCCGCGCCAGACTGCTCCCCCTTCCCCCGCCGCCCGCCTCCCCCGAGCCCTCCTCCGCTCCCCCCACATCCGCTTTCTCCTTCGCGTAGGGGGAAGATTTGGCAGAGGCGGAGGGGGCTGTGGCGGAAGCGGAAGCAACGGAGGGGGAAGTGGCGGAAGGGGAAGAGGCGGAGGGGGAAAAGGCGGGGGAGGAAGTTCGAGACGAGTGGAGCGCGGGGGACGAGCGGGAGGCGCGGGAAGAGGGAGGGGAGAGGAGGGTACGGAAGGCTTGGGAGAGGCGGTCGGAAAGGCGCGCCCAGAGCGAGGGCAGGGAGGCGGCGGCGGCGGCGTTGGGGGCTGAAGACGACGATTGCTCTGATGATGGCGATGGTGGTTGTGGTGCTGCGAATGGTGATGCGAGTGGTGATGAGGATGCAGGCGCTGTTAGTCCCAGCTGCGAGGCGTTGGCTTCCATATCCGTGGCCATGGAGGAGAGCTGCGGAGGGGAGGAAAGAACAAGGTGAGAAGGTGGGAGGGAGGAGGGGCGAAGGAGGGACAGGCGCTGTTAGTCCCAGCTGCGAGGCGTTGGCTTCCATATCCGTGGCCATGGAGGAGAGCTGCGGAGGGGATCAAAGAACAAGGGAGAAGATGAAGAAAGGGGTCACTGATATGGGGGAGATCAAGGGGGGAGAGCGGAGAGTGGAATAGGCGACGTTAGTCCCGATTGTGACGCGCTCGCTTCCATATCAGTGGCCATAGAGGAGAACTGCCAACGGAACAAGGAGGGGAGAGGGCGGGGGGAGGATCTGAGTCGACTCAAAAAGGAAAAAGAGGGGAATAGGCGCTGTTAGTAGTCTCAGCTGTGAAGCGCTCGCTTCTCTATCAGCGGCCATAAAGTAGAGCTGCCGAGGGGAAGGGGGAACGAGGGGAGAATGAGAAATAGGAAAAACTGCCCCTGAAGCGTGGCTTTGAGTTTAACCAGAGCTTCTCTGGAAACCCGTACACCCATTCGTCTTCACGTGAAGAGAGGGTGTTTTTGAGACGTCTCAAAAACACCCTCTCTTCACCAGAGCTTCTCTGGAAACCCGTGCACCCATTCGTCTTCATACCACAAAACGGCTGGTGAAGGGGCTAAAAAAGAACCTCATTTCCTAAAGAGAGAGGATCCGAGAAGCACCACGTTTCCATGGAGTTGATTTCTTAGACGCCTCGTGAAGGAACTAGAACAAATTCTTTGAGGCGTCTGGCTGGCTGACTGACTGACTGACTGACTGAACGACTGGTTGGCCGGTTGAATGACCAGCTCATTGATTGACTCGCTGGCTGGCTGACTGGCTGGCTGACTGACTGGCTGACTGACTGACGGACTGGCTGGTTGGTTGGCTGAATGGATGGCCGACTGACCGGAAGTGACAGGCTGGCTGACCAAAGGATCGGCTGACTTACTGACACTGGCTGAATGGCTGGTGGACTGACCGGCTGGCGAATCGCCTGACTCGCTCGCTGGCTTGAATGGACGACTGACTGGCTGGCTGATGCACCATCTGACTGACTTGCTGACTGAATGGCTGGCTGACTCGCTCACTGGCTTCTTGCCTGGCTGACTGCCTGACTGACTGCCTGACTGACTGCCTGACTGACTGACTGCCTGACTGACTGCCTGACTGACTGACCGACTGACTGCCTGACTGACTGACTGACTGCCTGACTGACTGACTGCCTGCCTGACTGACTGACTGCCTGACTGACTGCCTGGATGACCGCCTGGATGACTGACTGCCTGGCATGTTCGTAAACTCGCCGCCGAATCTCCGTCTTGGAGCGAGAGTCGGAGGAGGAAAGGAGGAAGGGAGGAACGAGGGAGGAAAGAGGAGGAGCACCTCGCGGGCACTGACCCTCACGGGCACTGACCCTCGCGGGCACTGACCCTCGCGGGCACTGACCCTCGCGGGCACTGACCCTCACGGGCACTGACCCTCGCGGGCACTGACCCTCACGGGCACTGACCCTCGCGGGCACTGACCCTCGCGGGCACTGACCCTCACGGGCACTGACCCTCGCGGGCACTGACCCTCGCGGGCACTGACCCTCGCGGGCACTGACCCTCGCGGGCACTGACCCTCGCGGGCACTGACCCTCGCGGGCACTGACCCTCGCGGGCACTGACCCTCGCGGCTAATGACCTGTTCACGCACTCGCCAAATACGCAGGCACTGACCTGTTCCTGCACTCGCCGCCGGATCTCCGTCATAGAGCGAGAGTCGGAGGAGGAGCGAGGCTGGCGGGAATATGGCGATTGGAGGGCAGGGATGGGAGACGCGCACACACACAGATGAATGGGGGCGAACGAGCACAGGGGGAACACGTATAAAGTTGGCGCGTGCTTAGCATGGGGGTACGGGCAAGGTAAGCACGCCCGTGCAAGTCAACTGCAGCGTAACAGCACAGCAGTGCAACAGCACAGCAGCGCAACAGACTAGGGAAAGTTCGGTCAGCGAATTACAGTCGAACCACAGGAGAGTAGGGGATCCTGCGCCGACGGCGAGAAAGAGGGAGACAGCAAGCGAAAAACGAGTGCAAAAAATCAGTAACTTGCCAGGGATCGAAACTTCTGCGTTGATGCTGACGTGTCTTCATCCTCGCGCTCTTTCGACGAACGAGGAGATGTCGAAGAGGACGATGTTGGAAAGGAATACGTGGAAAAGGAAAAGGTCGAAAAAGGGCCAGCCGCAGCCGGGCGATCGCCAGAGACGACCTCGGGCTCCTGCGACGACGACGGCGACGATTCCAGAGGCTCCTGCGACGAGAGGGCGTCGTGGACGAAATACGGCGATGGGAGGATGGACGAGGAGGAGGCGGAGCGCAAGGGGGGTTGCGACTGCGTCTGCGACTGCGACGATTGCGAACGAGACGGCGTTGACGGGGGTGATGTCGACGGCGACGGCGGAGAGTCGGAGAGATAGGAGGGAAGGGAGAGGCGGATGATGTTGTGGACGGAGTTGAAATCCCGTCGCAGGGCTTTAAGATTCGATGCTATCTGAACCGGCACGCGACCGGACGACATCGATCCTTGTGACGCCATAACTTGGAGGGCTTGCGCTCGCTCCACTAAGTGATCGACACGTGCTCGAATCTCATTGGCTGGCCGGAGAGGCATCGGCTGCTGATTGGAGGACGGGTCTACTGAGCCTCCGTTGCTGTCGCTGGGTTCAGGCTGCTGCGATTTTTCTAACCGCCGGCCACCACTAGATGGGCCGGCGGACGGCAGTTGCGACCAATGCGACGCCTGCGACGATTGCGACAGTTCGTTCCTACGGATCTGCTTTTGTAGCTGCTTGATCGATTTTGCCAGGTCATCAATCTCTTGCCGTGCCTGATCCACCGCCGACGCCGGAGGCCCTGCCACGTCAGCTCGTATGGATCGGAGGACGGGAGATCCTGACGGAACGGAAAGAGTTAACGGTAACCGGCCTGTTCCCGACAACCTCTTGTTCCGAAGCAAGCGCCGTTTGGACGGCGAGGATGCGTCCGCGGCACTGAAGGCATCGGTGATCCTTACACGCGTCTCGCTTCGCCCGTGAAGCCTTCGTTGATTTGTCGTGTGATCAACGGTTCGAAAACTAGCACCTGCTACGGAAAACACACTTTGATCTGCACGAAGGTGGTTATTATTCGTATGAGTTCTACGCGTATGGTTCTGCCATGCCGTGACGCCAGAGGTGCCATAACCAGATCGCAGCGTCGGGCAAGAGATCAACCAATGCTGTGCTGCCATTGTGGACAAGCTGGCTCGACGGAAAAGGGTTCACGAATCAAATTGCATTACTCGAAAATCAACGCGACTGGATCACCACACTGTATAGATTCCAATGCTTGGGAGAGAGCCACTTAGAGGAAGAAACCAAGTTCTTGCCTTGCAATTACTAGTTACTACGTATGATCATTCGTCCGCAAGAGTGAAATCAAGCTCAGGACAGGAACGGAGGAGCTAACGAAAAGGCAAGACTTGGGGGAATGACTGGATGGTTGGCGCTTGGGAGTGGGACCCAAGTGAGGAGAAGTGAGAGTTATGAACGACGACACTTAGGTAGCTCAAGATTCTCGAGTCTAGATGGTGGGACGAAAAGTAGCAGGTAAGGGTGTGCTACATTTGTCCTCCAGATTCGCAACGGTCTAAAGCGGTGAATAGAATCCACCGTACTTGACCGTGACTTCCTGCATTGAACCGTGCTTTACACAGGCTGACTTTCTCTAAATGTGAAGAGCAAGCATGACCCAAGATATGGCCTTGAAGAGCAGGGGTCGAGAGCAACAGACGGAAAGAAGCAGTGGAGGGTAGAGGGAAGAGGATTCAGGGGATAGGCGGGGAACATGGGTGGCCAGAATTTGTCCGTTAAGGGCCACGTCAGCGAGATCAAGGTGGTCATGGGCGCCCGATGAACGGTGAGGAATGAGCGATGGCGGGATCCGGACGAAGCGCACACTGCGGGGAGTATCTGGGACAACCGCAACGGGCCGCCAGCCAGCTGGTCCTGGAAAGTACCACTTGTGCGTTGGCTTGATTGGATCTTTTCGGACGAATCAGGCAGCTCCTCCCAGGGCTTGGCAGATAATCGAAGAGCAACATCTACGGACACGATCGAAGCGAAATGACACAATCTGCATGCACACGTGAGTGGGAACACTCCAGACATCATTTCAATACGCAGTTGGTACTAACAGTAAGTTTAGCATACACAAACCACGGACCAGCTTAGGTCCACTAATCTTAACGAAAGCCCTCTCTTGTGTTGCGCTTCACCAAACTTCTGGCTCGCACAGCCACATGGTGAAGCCCACGCAGGAAAAACCAAAACAGAACCAAACCAAACCAATCCAAACCAAACAAAACTTTTAGACCACTAAATTCTGAAGTCGACGCAGCTCTGGGTGGTGTATAGTACGCAGCTAAGCAGACGCTGCAACAAAATTGGACGTGGACGAGATGCCATTAGAGCAGCCCCCTCCACCAAGACTAGACTGCACTGACGCAGCCGCTGCCGCCGCAGCAGCACCATTACCAGCACCAGCAGCACCACCAGTACCACCGGTAGAAAGAGGAGGCTGCATGGAGTGAGAGCAAGCGAGAGTAGGAGCACCTCCCTTGGATGATCCTCCTATCAGCATTCCCCTGTCAGCCACAGGTGGCAGCAAGGTTCCGCCTGCAGGAGCAGCGACAGCAGCAGGAGAAGCAGCAGGCGTAGGAACCGCAGCAGCAGGAACAGCAGCAGTAGGAGCGGGAGCAGCAGCAACAGGCTTGAGGTCCGAAAGGACAGTCTCGGAATCCGTTCCCCTCCTGTCTGCCATGCTGTCAACCACTCCGCTCGCAATCGCAGTCCCTCCTGCTGCTGCCACCCCTCCTGCTGCCGTTGCCCCGCAAGCCCGTGCCACTGGTGGCTTGGCATTGGGAGGAACAACGCTGCTCTCCACTGCACTCTCCCCATGAGCCTCAAACCCCACATGCACCCGCAGCAGCTCACACTCCAATCGCACTACATCCATCTCCGGCTCTAACCCTTTGGGATTGTTGGGGAGCTCAAACCTTTCAGGGTTTTGTGGGAGCTCCACCCTCCCTGATACGAAGCTGCTTGTGAGAGGGTCGGTGCTCCCTGCGTTGAGGGCTATTGCTCCTGGGGTGAGGAGGGGCGGCAGGAGAATGGATTCAGCACCGTGTGCTGCGCACGAGCTCACCAGCAGCAGGCAGTCTGCTTCGCCGCAGCTCGGCCGCAGTAGCGGCAGCGGTGCAGCTTCTAACGAAGCAGCTTGTAGTGAAGCAGGGTCAGTGGGGAGGAGGATGGACTCGGATGTTAGCGCACCGGAGTAAACAGGGCACAGTGCCGAGTGCTCTGCTGTAGTTGGGGCTGCTGCTGGGATTGCTCCTGGGGTTGAAGCTGTGGGTGCTGCTGGGATTGCCACACCACCTCTCTTGACAGTGGCAGCAACTGATGCAAGGATAGCAGCAGGTGCGGAGGCTGCTGCAGAAATAGCAGCAACAGCAACAGCGATGGGTGCAGTGACAGTGGCAGCAGTGGCAGCGGCGATAGTGGCAGCAGCGGCAGCTGAGCAGTCAGCCTCGTTACCAACTGCTGCCACCACAACAGGGGTGACAGGGACTGGAGAGGACAGCTTGGCTTCAGGTGTCAGCTCAGGTGAAACAACAGGTACATTCACAGCCGAGTTCTTGCCAGGCGAAAGCACCTGCTGCTGCTGCTGCTGCTCCTCCTCCTTCTGCTGCAGTGAGCCCTGCTCTATCTCATGCCCTGCCAGTCTCCCCCTCAAATGCTCACACTTCACAAGTCCACTGGAAGTGTTACCTGCAGCCCCACTTGCCGGCTTGCCTGTAGCGCAGCTAATAGGCTTGACTGTGGCAGCAGCCATGGGTTTACCCCTGCTCCCCACTCCATGTCCGGGCACTTTCCTCAGCGAGAACCGCACCTTCACTCCTCCGCCCAGGCTTGCGCCGGAGGAAGCCGCAGCAGAAGCAGCAGCACCACCACCACCAGCTGCAGCAGAAGCAGGAGCAGCAGCGGGAATATCCTCGTGTCTTGTGTTCTTCCCGCTTCCCCTACCTCCTCCTGCCTTGCACTTCCCACCAACTCCCAGCCTCTGCACCTCCCCTTCTCCCCCCTTGCTACCTGCTCCCCTGCACACCCCTCTCTTGCTCACACTGCCCTTGCTCTCCCATCCCCTCTTTGCACTCTTCTTACTGGAAGGGATGACGGAGCTTACCACCTGCACCACCAAAGGACCGTCCACCTCTCCCCTCCTCACATCCCTCCTCACTCTCAGCCGCCCACCCTTACCCGTCGCAAACAGAGCCACCTCCTTTACAGGCACATCCATCATAGTCACATCGGCGAGCCTGCTTTTCTTTCCTGAATGACCGACAGGACCAATCATACTCTCACTACAATCGGGTCCCTCAATAACGCGTCTCTTTTTCCAGCCCCTACTCTCTCTCTCTCCCTCTTTGCCACTTTCCTTGCCCTTCCCCCCCTTGCCGCCTTCCTCTTTGCCCTTCCCCTCCTTGCCTTTCCCCACCGCACCTTCCCCTTCTCTTTGCTCCCCAATCATCCATCCCCCCTTCTCCCCCTGCATCCCTTCCCCCCTTTCCAGTCGCTTCCCCAACCTCCTTGCATTCCCCTTCCGCCCGCCCTCCCTCTCCGCTTTTTCCGCGTCCCCCTCCCCCGCCCACTCCCCTTCACCTTCTCCTCCTCTCTCAACAGCATTTGCGGTTCTTGCCTGGTCCGAACCTCCCTGGTTCGGACCAGTAAATTTCCGTCCCTTTCCAGAAGCAGATGAAACCGACCCCAGTTGCTCCTGCCCGTTCCCCCGCCCTTCCCCCTCCCCATTCCCCTCCCTCTCTACCCCCTTCTGCCCCGCGCTCTGCTCCCCCGCCTGCCCCAGCCTACGCCTCCCGCCCCTACCTCCCCCGAACCTCTGCTCTCGCCCCTGGCCCTTGCCGAGCCTCTGCATCCGCTTCGGTCCCTTCCCCTCCCTCTCCCTCCCTTCCCTCCCCCCTTTCCACTCCTCTCGCTCCTCCCACTCTTCCTCCATCTCTTCCTCCTCCCTGTCCTCCTCATCATCCTCCCCTTCCTCCTCCCACTCCCTCCTCCCCTCCTCCTCCTCTTCCTCCTCCTCCACCACTCGCTTTCTCCTCCTCCCTCCTCCCTTCTTATACTGGCATCGATACTCAAAGAACGGAGACAACAACCCTCCCTCCGTCCCCTTAAACCCTCCCAACCCCCCCTCACTCCCTTCCCCAGTCAAAACCCCATCACCCCCCTCACTCCCCTCTCCCCCTTCACTCACCCCCCCACTAGCTTCTCCCCTTTCTACTTTCACCTCTCTCACCCTCCCTTTCATCCTCTCCTCCTCCCACACCGTCCCCTCCCCTCCCACTCCCCCTCCCACGCCCTCCCCCTCCTCCCCCTCCTCCTCGCCCCCGTCCCCAACCCGCCGCAGCTGCTGCCACGTGGCGATCACAGACCGCCGCATCTCCACGATCCGACGGTGGGAGTTCGAGTGCTTTTCCGCCACGTATTCAGGGGAATTCGCGGGGCGGTACTCCGCGCACAGCCGCCCGGACTTGTACCGCACTCCGCACGCGTTGCACAGGGTTTTAGGCCCATACGGCCCGGCTCGCCACTGCGGGGTTTTGGTCACGGAGCAGTGCAGGCAGCGCCGCACAACACCAGCAGCAGCACCACCACCAGCGCTCGCCGCCCCTGCTGCTGCTGCAGCAGAAGAATCGCCAGCAGCAGCAGCCGCAGCAGCAGCAGCAGCGCCGGCAGGGGCGCCAGCATCAGCAGAAGCAGTAGCAGCAGCACCACCAGCAGCAGCAGAGGAAGTACCGTCAGCTGACGACTTCAGTTCTGCCGCCAGGTTACCAATTTCGCCAGCCAATGACGAAGCCCCAGAGAGACTCGGCAGAGCTGACGACAGGGAACCACACGGTACCCCATCTGCTCCCAAATCTCTGCCCGCTGCCGTTTTCACAACGCCATTGGCCGCCGCGACCGCGCTTTCGGGCAGCTGAAAAACAGATTCCACCTGCCCGGAACAGAAATCCGGGCCATAGGAAACGGTGCTGGCGCTCCGGTCTGAGCTTGAGACTGACAGCCGCGAGAGAGGGGACGGCTTGTGGCGTTTTGTCGCATTCAGCCTTCCAGACGCTTCGGCAGCAGCGCCACCAGCAGCACCACCAGCAGCGGCAGCAGCAGCAGGGGAGTTTCTTTGCAGGGGGGACGAGAGGATAGGCACAATATAACTAGCAGCAAAACCAGCACCACCAGCAGCAGCCTTAGCTCCTGCAGCTGCCGACGCTGCTTCCGCCTCTGCTGCTGCTGCAGCGACAGCAGCAGCAGCCAATCGGGCAGCAATGGCGGCTTTAGAAGGGCGACCTCTGGGTCTCCCCGTGTAAGGCGGCCGCCCCTTGCCCTTCTGCCTGCCCCCCCTCTGCTCCGACTGCGCCTTTTTGTGCTTCCTGTTCCTTCCACTCTGCGCGGACGCGCCGTGCTGCTTGCTCGCGCGGAAATACCCGTTATAAGCTCGAACCCGCGAGTGCTCCTGCTGCTCCCACTCCTGCCCCTCCTCCTCCTCCTCCTCCTCTTCTTCCTGCTCCTCGTGCTCCTCCTGCTCCTGCTGCTGCCGCCACTGCTGCCGCTGCTGCCGCTGCTGCTGCTGCGCCTGGTCTAACAACACATGCTCGTCGCATTCGTGCTCTGGCGCGTAAATCTCCTCCGTCGGATGGAGCAGATCGTTCAGCAGATCAACGGTCCAGGTTCGCCCACGAGCGATGGGGCGGTGAGATCTCGGCCGTTTGCCGGGGATGGGGGAGAGCAAGAGGCGGTCAAGCGGGGAGGGGGAGGGAGGGCGGACGGTAGGGGAGCGGGCGGAAGGGGAGCAGGCGGGCGGGGAGCGGGGGGACGAGGGGGAGGGGAGAGAGTAGGAGGAGTGCAGAGGAGCAAGTGTGGAGATAGGGCTTCCGGAATGCCCATCTTGATCGCAAATCAAATCTTTTCGAGCCACAGAGATCGCCATAAATCCGCCACTTCTCTTGACGTTGCCGTTGCCGCTGTCACTGCCATAGCTCCCGCCCTTGGCGCTCCTCCGGAGGCCGGCGCTGCTGTGAGGCGCGCGCCTCGTCTTGCCCGCCACAGCCGCAGCGTGCGGGGGAGCGCGCGCGGAGTGGGCGGAAGCGCCCGGGGCAGAGGAGGAGGATGGCTTAGCATGGCAAGAGGGGTGATGCGGCGGCATGGGCAGCAGCGAAGAGAGGTCGTCCGCAAAGAGACCCGCGCCCAGCGCCAACAGGCAATCGTCGCCCTGCGCGGAAGGGGAGGGGAAAAGCGCGGGCGGAAGGGGAGAGGCGGGGGCGGAGGGGGGACACAAATATTGGGCAAAAAAACAGAAAACAGGAGACAAGAGGAGGGGCGCATCGGGGAAGAGACCTGCGCCGAGCGCTCTATACAATTATTCCTCTGGTACTTTTTTTTTGGTACTAAAGACAACGATCGCTGGAATTTTGCGTTGAGCCTACTGGGTGAGTCGGTGCGCGGAGTTCAGCCAAACCCCTTCAAAACCCTCTTATCTTTCAGGTCACAAGAAATTGCTCAAATCGCGACGTCTTATTTCATTTCCCGGATGGAGACGTCTCACAGCTGCATTTGAAGCGTCGCGACGCGCGTACTCGGCAGCAAGAAGCACGGAAAACCACTCGACCCCTCAAGAATGTGAGATGATTCCAATTTCGCATGGTTATCTATCTCACGCCACAGCAGCTTTTGAGGTGCCTCAAAAATCTTCCTCACGCCACAGCAACGCCCCGGCATGTCGTCATGCTATGACAACCCAACTCTACCAACATCAACACCACCAACGACAGATGAGCATGTGACGCCAGCTTGTCTTCGCAACTCCTTTACGCTGTGACGCACCTGCACGTCGCACGCTCACCAGCACGTCGCACGCTCACCAGCACGTCGCACGCTCACACCAGAATGTCGCATGTTGCACGCTCATACGAACAAAGTCGCACGCTCACCAGCATGTCGAGCGCGTCGCCTGCGGGCAGCATGTCCTCGAAATCCGCGAGGCAGCGCGTTTCCAACCCGTCGAGGCATCCCATGCCGTCCATCGGGTCGACGCAGTCAACGCGGTCAACGCGGTCAACGTGGTGAACGGAGTCGCGGCGCACGGAGTCAGCGGGGTCAACGCAATCAACGCGGTCAAGCAAGTCGATGGGGCCCGCAATGTCGTCCGTAGGAATGGCGAGCAAGTCTTCCTCTCCTTCCTCTCCTTCCTCTCCTTCCTCTCCTTCCTCTCCTTCCTCTCCTTCCTCTCCTTCCTCATCCGCCTCCTCCCCGTCTCCCTCTCCTCTCTCTTCTCCTTCCTGCTCTCCCTCCTCGTCCATCTGCTTTTCACCCTCCGCCTCTACCTCTTCCACCTGCCCCTCCGCCGCGCCTTCTTCGTGGTCCGATTGGGCGCCTTCGCTGTCCACGTCAGCATGCTCCTCGTCCGCGTCAACATCACGGCCGCCCGCATCCCCCAATCGCCCTCCTTCGATTTCGACACTCGTCCCATTCATCCACTCCCGCTCCTCCACTCCGTCTCTGGAATCTTCCTTGTCTCCCGCGTCGTCCGCGTCGCCCGCGTTTCCCGCGTCGTGAGGGTCTCTTTCTCCTCCGCTCACTCCTCTCTCTCCCTCGGCTTCCTCGGCCTCCTTTGCCTCGGGCGCGTGGATCCCAATATCCGCGTTTTCCGCGTCCGCTCGTGCCGCCCCGAATTCCTCTGCCGGAGTCGAAGCAGCGTCGACGCCGGAGGATTGCGAAGGCACCGCGGAAACGGTTTCCGCGTCAATCCAATGCGAGTGCGACTGCGCAGCAGCAGTAGGCTGATGAGAGAACAGCCAGAGAGAGAAGCAGAGAAGTAGGGAAAGAAGGGAGAATAACAGGACGAGTTCAGTCAACAAGGGGCAGATAGAGAAGGAGCGGGGAGAGAGGGATTGAGAAACGCGGAACGAAGAGCGCGGAACGCGGAGACGGCGGAGCAAGAAAGTCGGTCAGGGAACAGCGGCTAACGAGAAGAGTCGAACCCACGGAATCTTGCGCCGCGGAAACTGAGCGCAGCGGGGAATCTTATAAGGCGCTCTGACGAGAAAGGGAGACGGACGGACGGACGGAAGGAGCTCGCGGGAACGGCGTTCGGGGGAACGACGCGTGGGAAAACGGTGCTCTGGGAAACGGCACTTGGGGTAACGGCAGCAACGGACGGTAGCGGAAGGGGAACGAAGCGTGCGCGAGGGAAGAGCGAATAGCGTGGTCGCAGCGTCGGCGCGAAACTCAAGACTGGACGCAGCGTCGGCGCGACAGCTCAACGAGTGACTATATCAGGGAAGCCTGTAACATCGAGGACAAGAACGCACTCGGCAGTAGCAGCACCGATGAAGCGTCCCAACGAAGAATAGCGGTACGACCCCAATCCAACCAAGGAAACATCGCCACGCCACATCGCCACGCGGCGGCACTGGGCACACGACGGCTGTTGAATTAAAACGATATTGTAGGCGCCGCGAAAATCGATTTTAAAAGATGCGTTCACATCAGCTCTCGGCCTACCATTTGCTCGGTCTACCATCGCGCGACCTATTCTGGTTCGGCCTACCGGTAGTCGCTCGTAAGACGAAACTCGTTCCTAACGCTACTTATAAGCGCGAGCCGTCACTTATAGGTCAACCAACCTGCTGCTCCGCACTCGACGGGTTTCTTGACCGCGACTCGGGAAATAAAACGGAGCGCGTGCCCCCATTCTCGTCCGTCAATCCAACCGCTCGACCGTCAGTGAAGACGGCGCTGTCAGACGTGCCGCCGTCGATGTTCGAGGCTCCTACCAGAGCTTCGACTGGTCTCCGCTGACATGCTGACTTCCCCGATGAATCGTCGGCGAGAACGGTAACCGGAGCTTCGCGAGTTTCGCGAACGGTCTGACGCGCCAGCGGCCCGGCACCAGGAGGCTCTGGCGAGTGGTGAAGCTTCTGCAGCGAAGTCGGACGCGGTTCCGACGGCATCGTTCCAAGTGACGCGCGCCTCGGGTGGAACGACTCGAGCGCCGTGACGCCTCGAGCCACGGGATCGACTGCGCGGAGCGGGGATGACGGAGCAGCCATGGCTGGTTCCGACGATGCGCGGTGCGCTTGGGTGTTTCAGACGCGCACGACGGAAACGGATAAGAGAATGGTGGAAAAACTCTAGCAGGAAGGGGAGGGGAGAGGAGTATTGAACCAGGAGTTTCGAAGGAGGTTGAGGAAGAAAGGGTGAGAAGCAGGAGAGACGAGAAATTTGTTTAGCCTGGTCGGGCGGAAGAGAAAGGTGAAGGGGGGAGTGGGAACACAAAGACGGCAGCAGGAATGGCCGAAAGCTGTAAGTGGGAGGAGGAGTGAGTTGAGCAAGTTTGTCCGCGCATTGTTTGATTCGAAAAACCGACAGCCAGTTCGCAACTTGGAAAACTCGTGTGAGAGCGGAGCGGAATCGCTGATTGAAGAGTGACTGCGAGGAAATGAGCAGAATTGTAGGTTGCAGCGGATGAATGACAGATAACGGGAGCGCACACTTCCAGTGAGCGGCAGGGGAAGGGGAAAGAAAGATTCAGACAGAGTGAGGGGGAAGGGGAAAGGAGCGTAGCAGGGCGGTCAGAAAGTGAACGAGCACAGTAAGACTGGACCGCGGAGTGCGCAAAAGACTTGCCGGAGAATGCGGCGGAAGAGGTTATGGGGGCAGGGCAAGGGGGAGGGTGGGGGTGCCCTACTGCCCACTGCCCTGCCCACCTGATTCTGTTGGTCGGCTGGAAAGACTTCGTTGGCGCGGGGGCAGAGGGAACTTGACGGGGAGTTCTGGGCGGGGACGGTGACTTCGAGGGGAAAGGCGGAAACGGTGGTTTGACGTGACTGGCTAGTCTTCTTGAGGCGGAAGGAATGCTGTTTCTACTCCGCGCGCTTGTTTCCGCCGCGGTAGAGACGCAGCATGCTCGCCTTCACCGAGCCAGACTTGCGCACCTTCTACCTGCGCATTCCTGCCTTCCCCCACAAGATTTCCGCATGGTTCGCGCACAAATGCCCCGAAGCCGAAGCTGACGTTTCGCGCGTGCGCCTGGAGATCGGATCAATCAATGCTGTGTGGGATGGGCTGCGGCGAGGCACTGCCACGCTGGTGCTGCCATGGCGCTTGCTGCTTGGCCCTCCGGCCTCGGGGGCCTCGTGGCTTTGATCCCGAGGTGTGCAACCCTCGTGCTGCTTGCGGGGATTCCGCGCGCCTGTTCAAGAAATATTGTTCTCCGCCATCCGCCCTCAGCAAGGGAGGGGGTAGGCGGGGGCAGGCCAATCGTCTCCGCGGAGAAAAAGGTCGGTCAAGCGGTTGGAACTTGGAATTTGGAAACTGTCTTGTCGCGCGCGGAGATTCGAAGCTGACCAGCTGCGCGGGCAGGGAGGGAAATTGAATCTACCAATCAGAGTACCTGGTCCGTGAGCAAGGGGCACCTGCCTTCCTTGCAAGAATTGCCTGTTCGAAGGAAACGAGAAGGTCGCGGCGAAAAGCTTGGGTGGTTGGGTTCGGTGAAGCTGGTCCTGGCAGTGTGACTGTTTCCTTTCACACTGCTGACTCAGGTGCAGAGCGAAACGTACAATTCATTGGATAATGTGCAAACCACTCGGGCTTTTCCCCCTGATTTCGGGAGCTCAAGTCATCGCACCAGTGGAATATGCCGTAGTTTCGATGTAATTTTGGTTCGCACGAAATCGTTGACCTACCGAAGTTCCTCCTTGCTCCTCAGAATAATCACGTGTCGCGGGACATTTGTGTGCTGTGCCCCACCCACCCCACCCCGCCACCTCAGCTTCCCAAACCCCCCTTCCCCCAACCCCCGAACCTGCGTGCCCCTGCGCCCCTTTTCTTCCCCCCAACCACTTCCCCCATTCCTCCCCGCGCAACAGAAACTGTGGCAAGTGAACTCCACCCAGCCTGAACATCGGGACAGTAGACCTGAGGATCAGGTCAGCTCCCCGAATCGAGGGCCCTGCTGGACGAATGAGCGTCGAGGAGCAATGCCCCCGAAGCTTTGCCCGTGATGGTGGATCCTCGAGATTCGCGGGGGCTATGAGTGTGCCACATAAGGACATAATTTCGCGAATACCGGGCGAAACTCCACGACGCCTGACGATCTTCGCATGACCAATACAGTATACGAGCATGAAAGCACCATGATATTTCTCGCACAGTTGACGCGTTGGAACCAATCAGCAAACTGACGACAAAATCGATATAGAGAACCTCACGGCGAATCCTTTAGTGAGCATGGACTGAACTGAGGAATAATTTTATCTTGGGATTTCACAATGAGGCAGAGGACACCCTAGTCGGGTCTCACAACGAGGCAGAGGGACACCCTAGTCCCGAATAAAATAAGCATTAATAACTGTTTTTTTATTTCTGAAAATTATAGGTCTCTTATCCCCAGATCTGGCTTTTGCAATATGGAAAATAAAACGATAACAAATAATACTCGCACATAACAGGTAACTGATAACAGATAATGATATATTTTATTAATTTATAAATTTGTAACATCCACATCTCGTACCAAAAGGAAAACACGTAATCTATCTTGGATATGGGATTGCTAAGGAGGAAATTTAAATGTCCTTCTGCATCTCTTTTAACGTTTCATCTACACTGCCTGGTACCACATTAAACGCTGTCAACCAGTTCTCCCGGCCACCACTGGGCCCAGTTCGGCAGGCATTATGGCCATTATCGCCATTATGGGCATTTTTAACGGGCCCCCAAAAAATGGTGCCTGGGAATCCAAAAACAACTTCGAAATCGGACTGTAGCTGCAGTGCACCTTCGGAAAAATGGTCTGGGTGTTCGGCTGGCATTAATTGGGTGTAGATTGATGGCATCAATCGAGATTTTGGGTTTCGCAGAAGATGCTGGGGAGTTACCCTGATGAATCGTGTGAACATGTGATTGGCTGGCATATTTGACCAGTCACTTTTGATTGCCCCGAATCACTGATACCCCGCATGGTGCGGGGCCTCGAGGCCGCATGGTGTGGCGGATCAGAAAGTGGGCACTTTGCCAGAGAAACTGGGTTCGTGGAAGATTCGGGCAGTTGAAAACGCCTGCATAAAAAAGGGTATTGGAGGCATTCCATTATTGTCAGGTTCGGCGTAGATCCGCTTATATCGAGCCTTGATAACCATTCACGGGATTATCAAGGGTGGTCGTTTCACTGTAGCCCATCCACCGAGGCCATTTTTTCAATGCCTACCAAACTGGGCCTGGGTATTTCCAGCCTCAATCTTTTGTCAATTTTGCAGCCACCTCGGGTTCTGCCGCGTCCATCGCTGCCTGCACGGGACAAAAACTAGTAGTACCTCGATTTCTTCACGAATTGCTTCTTAGTTTCGTCTGTGGCTGCTACTAGCAGTACTTATATCATGCGACCCATCCACCGTCGACTGCACGGATTGATGTTTGAGTCAATTAGACATCACTTCCCGTCTCCCGTCTCTCGCACGCGACGCGTCTCCCGTCGAGTGCACGGAATGACTCATGCGACGCGATAACGAAAGAACTGGCGCACGTCGCGTCGTGCATGAAGTGCATTCTAGCCGCTACTACCGTTGCCTGCTGCTCCATGCAACGACTATAGCCGCACGACGTCCTCCCGTCTTTTGAGAAGTCTCAAAGCTGCTCCTTGTAATGGTTTAGCATGAAATCTTCCCGTCCCGCCGTTTGAGGAGATTTAAAAGTGCTCCTTGTAACGGTTTTTCTTCAGCATGACGTCTTCCCGCCTCTCGCACGCGACACGTAGTATTCATAGTCGTTTATGAGTGACGCGTCGCTGCAGCGATGCCCTCCAGCCGCCATTACTGGCTGCTGCTGCTAGCTGCGCTCGCAGCGCTCGCGTGCTGCTGGTGGGTCGTTCTCTTCCCGCTCGCCCTTTCCCCCTCTCAGATCGATTCGGGTCAAACTCGCGCCGTGCTCCAGGATGCGCGATACGTCAACGAACTGTCGCGAGCTTCGCTTCATTCGCGCGATTCGGTACAGCTGAAACGACAGCAGGAGGAGCCGAAGGAAGGGGAAGACGCAAAGGAGGCGGGGCGGATCCGGCCGAGATCTGACGGTGGCTATTCTAGATTCGGGGCCGTGGGTCCACGTCAGCAGCACTGCATTGTCATCGACGCGGGGAGCACGGGAACGCGCTTGTACGTGTATGAATGGGAGGGGGTGGGGACAGACGGATGGAGAGGCGGATGGAGAGATGGAGGGCAAGACAACAGGGGTAATGTGAGTTATGTGAGTGGCAGCAGTGAGACTGGGAGGAGTCCTGTGAATCTGCCTGTGATTCGGCAGCACGAGCAGAAGGTTCAGCAAGAGCCGTTTGGATTTGACCCCCAACAACAACAGTTGCTGCTGCTGCAACAGCAGCAGATGCAGAAGCTGCTGCAGCAGGGCCGACGAATAGGAGACTTCCAAACTGAGCCTCTGAAGCAGACGCAACAACCACAGCTGCAGCTGCAGCAGCAGCAGCAGCAGCCAAAGCAGCAAAAGCGAGCGTACAA